AATAAAGCATGATAGCATGTTAATTTTTTATTTGTTAAATAGCTATTTATTTCTTAATTCTCTCACCTAATTATCATGTAAACCAGAGCGTGTTGAGATTTTTTTTAAATAATAAAATTTATTTATTTTTAATAAAATATATTTGAAAGTAAACAACAAATAATTCAGTTTGTTTTTGTTTTCTAATAGTTGACTAATAATATTAATTCCATAATGAGAAAATTGTTTTAGAAAACGCTTTGAAATGTGAATAAATGTTACATTCTTTAATTATCAATAAAGTAGGTTCCGATGTATTATTATTGATTTATTTTTAGTAAGTAGTGATTGCCACAATTTTGTTTCAAAATATAAATCAATCAGATATCTCAAAATAAGTTAAGAAAAATTGACTGTTTTTATTATTTTTATTAACACGTTTTTATTAACTCAGCTTCGCGTTTGTGTGTTTGTTGTTAAAATTGACATCTAAAATTAGCCCACTTCTGATTGCTCTAGAGATCTGAAATTTGGAATGCAGGCTATTTATGCCTAACAATTTCAGATGCAATCATAAAAACTAGCAATTAGAGACCTAAATTAGCTTAATTAAATTACGCCCCAAGGACCATAAAATCGAGGACATGATTTCTAAACATACCGACAAGACTGGAGGCATATTGACACAGTTACTTCGGCCCCAATCGATGTGAGCGCGCTGGCCGTGATCGTATAGTGGTTAGTACTTCGCGTTGTGGCCGCGACAACCCAGGTTCGAATCCTGGTCGCTCAAGATTTTTTTAGTCCGTGTATTTATAAACACTTAGTCAATTCATACTTAATCAAGTCATTAGATAAAGTAGAAAATAAACTATATAAAAAACTTTTTTAAAAACCACGTTTTTCATGTGTAGCAACGGACTAAAAAGGAGAAAATAAAATACTTAAAAAAAACTTTTTAAAATACCACGTTTTTCTTGTGGACTAAAAAGTAGAAAATAACTATTTACATACATTTGATGACAAAAAACGTGGGTACGTTCACCATCAAATTTCCCGACCCATCTGCCCCACCCACGTTTTTTGTCATCAAATGTATGTAAATAGTTATTTTCTACTTTTTAGTCCACAAGAAAAACGTGGTTTTTTAAAAAGTTTTTTTTAAGTATTTTATTTTAACAAAATTAAGGCACGTTTTGTTGAAAAATGTTAACAAATAGATCAAATGTGAGGAAAGTATCCCAGGAGCATCTCTGGCTACTCTAGCTACAGTGGAAGAAAGCGTTTACTTGTTTTCAACATTTGATAAACTACAAGGTAAACATAATCTTTACATAACGGACAAAACAAAACAGAATTTATCTATATTTTCTATATTTCTATTTAATACATTTAATCTTTTTTAATACCATCAATACCTTGTATACAGTCTATATAGCTTATATCTTTGACATCATCGACATTATGTACTTGATCTGCACACTCTGTACCCTCTTCGACATCCGCATCGTATGCAGCATCTACATCATCTACATCACCTACATCAAATCACATCACATCAACTACATGACATCAACTACATAACATCACCTACATCGCATCACCTACATCACATCACCTACATCACAATCAACTACATCACATCGTCTACATCAAAATCAACTACATAACATCACCTACATAACATCACCTACATAACATCATCTACATCACAATAAACTACATTACATCACCTACATCACATCACCTACATCACAATCAACTACATAACATACCTACACCAAATTAAAACGAGAAGTTCTGAAACATTTTGGGCTGACAGAGTCAGGCTACAGCAATAGGTTTAACTCATCCAAACCCAACTCTGAGGACAAACCAGGAAGCTACATTAGGAGAACTAGACATTATTTGAAGAGATGGGTCGAACTAAGCGGGATAGAGAAAACTTATGACGGTCTGTTTGATCTGATTCTTAAAGACAAAATCGTAAGGACAGTAAGTGAAGACATCAGGCAACACATACTAACACATAACCCTAGGACTGTTGACGAGGTGTAGAAACAACTATTTCGCTATATTCCCGACGAAACAGCTAGGCGACTCTCCAGATGCACCGACAGAACTTATAGTAACAATAGCAAAACCAATGCAATCAGTCTCAAAAGATGACCGACGTTTTAGTAGATTAAATTCTCCGCACTTCAGACACAGCTATAAACACAACACACGTAGCTCGAAATCACCGATATACAGACACCAGACACCGCTCATTGGGTTTTTCTACTTCACAGTCACGGTGGGCGTGTCGGGTACTTTCTATTTGTCGAAATCAAAGACGAACAATGTCAAGTAGTGGTCAGTGAAGGTCCAGGCACGCAACTAAGCGAAAAGGTTAATATGCGGTCCGTGTAGCGTGACCATCGGTGTGTACGTCTGACACGTATTATTTCATTGTACGACCTATTTTAACTACAGTGGTTAGGGTTATGCCCACTACAACGCTAGCAGGTAACAACTGTTTGTGACGCGTACGCCGAGACTGCCGTGTATGCTTTATGTTAACGAAAAATTCCCAACTAGCCTACCTAGAAACCCCAGTAATGGCAACTCAGGAAGTTTACTTAACCTCTACGGCTATAGAGAATTTCACGCGGGTATATCTAAACCCAATGGTAGAAGAAAACCAGAGTACGTTGCTTGCCGAGAGCACCGCACGAGGGCTGATACAAAAGGCACATACCCCAGAGTGTGATTGTAGGTCAGGAGTGCTGGTCCAATATATCAACAATTCCCACAGGACAATGGGCTCAAAACTTGTGACCTAACAAATTATCCCCCCTGTCAGTCTCTTTGAATGTGTCACCTACTGTCCATCCCTACAATGTACCGTAATTATCTTATAAATGGATGTTTGTGGAATTATGACCTAACACACCCCACCTACATCACCTACATCACCTACATCACCTATATAATCTTCAGCTACAGTCATAGTTTTGTAAATTCATTCCATACAGCCAAATCCACCATCAGATCCACATCTCACTCTCCATCTGTATCTGCCTGTTTTTACACAACTGGCCATGTTTGTGTACATTCCAGTTTGGGTTGGTGCTCACTTTGAGAATAACCAATGGATGTGGCTGGGTGGAAGACCAGTCGCGTTTGATGGTTTATGGGTCCCTGGAGCCTTAACAAATATAAACAGGAGTGAGGACTGCGTTGAACTAATTACCCAAGAACTCCTTAACGACAATTATTGCTATGTTTCTAGTGGCTATGTGTGCATGAGTAGAGGTTTGTAAATTTCGTTAGCCAAAACATGTCTGATAAGTCATAAGCTGCCAATTCCTTAATTATTGCAAATATTTTTTTTATGTTTTTAATTTCCAAATCATTAAAAACTGAGTGTCAATGAAGTATTTTATGTTTTATTTAAAAATTTTACTTTTAAAGCATTTTGAAAATAATGTATCCAGACGATTTATCAGCTTCTAAAACATTTAGTTGGTCTATTTTTTTAAATTGCTTTTTCTTCATTCTTTATAAAGTTGATAGTACATACGATTTAAAAAAAAAAAACTATAAAGCCCGATTAGTAGTTCGCGATTGCCTAAATGTATTATCTACTTTTCATAGTACTTTAACTGCTCTCAGACGTAATAATAAACAATTGTGACAAATAGTTAAACATGATCGGCAAGTACGTACCCGTATATCACCTTTTATAAATAAACTATGCAATATTATAGTAAAGTTGATAGGATTAAGTTATCATCTAATTAAATTACAAATGATATTTTATTAAATTCTCTTCGGAAACGCTAATTTCAAAGACAATATAAAAAGAATTATCTATTATCTAGCCTTTAACATTTAATAAAAAATTAAATATGGCACAAATAGGCTCAGGTACACGCACGTCGCATTCACACATGTACATCACCTTAGAAAAAATATATATTTATTGATATATAAAGATGTATTTATATATATATATATATATATATATATATATATATATATATATATATATATATATACATATATATATATATATATATATATATATATATATATATATATATATATATATATATATATATATATATATATATATATAGCATGATGTAAATTGTCAAAATTTTGAAAATAACATCATTATCGTAAAAAATAATTGCGGAAAGCATCTGTAACGTTAACACTGTTTCGATAACAGGAGTTCATCAATGGTACGAATGCCGAGAAGTCCCAGAAAACGGAACAGTTTCAGAAAACGTTCAGCTCTTTGTGCCAAAGTTTGCTAGTAGGTCGTGTGTTTATTAGAGGTTGGATACAGATTGTTTAAGATAGCTATGCTTTGTTTGTAAATATTAAATGCTTAGTTTTGAAACTTTATTAAACTTAGTTTAATGTACGTTAAACATAAACGATGTTTATTATTTTTTTTTTTTCATTTGCATTCATTTTCAAATTACCTAATTAATTTTTCGAAGTTTTAAAATATGTAATGCTAGTCTTTTGATGTTTTTTTTCACTCTTATTCAAAACTAGACAACACCGTAAAATGTATTCTCTTCATCCTTTTTTGTTTATGCTCCAGACACATTGAGCAGATGAAGTAGAGTTTATCTGCTTTCGTTACCTCATTACAATGTCCATTCGACTTTGATTTCATAACGTCATTCATATATCTGTTAGAGCTGAATAGATTTATAAGCGTCCTATAGACTCGAGCTTAGATCTAAAATCCAATCGTTTGGGTTGGCAGTCTAACGATCTACCGCTCGATGTTGTATTTTAATTCAGTAGACTTAAGGCAGCAATAATTATTTAGGGAAAGTTTGTATATTATTTGTTAATTTTAATATTTTCGACACCTTTTTTCAGCTGTTCCATTCACGCGAAATTTTACAGTAAACAATGATATGTCCGTCATGGTGAATGAAGCTGAAAAGGTCATATTTTTGTGTGAAGTCTCAGCGACCCCTGAAGCAGTGGCTGTTATAACAGGAAGTAACATGAGTAGAATTAAAGACCAACGGTCCAACAGTAGCCGGTTGGAACTGGTTCTTGATGACGTGCAGTGTACAGATTCAGGTCGATATTTCTGTTGGGGAAGCAACGGGTTCGAGACCAACCCCCACGAAATTTGGAAATATGTTGATATTTTGATGGAATGTAAGTTTTCTGTATTCAAGTGCAGATTAAATAGTATTAACTTAACTAAGCGAAACCCAGTTTCTAAATAATGCTTTACAATTTGAATTTTAAGTTTGTATTCAATACAATATTAGTTATAAATGCCTTGATTAGTTGCTCCTTGTTTGCATCTAAACTCAATTTATGTAGAAAACTAGCATACCCTTACAGAGCATTGCTGCAATCCAGTCGAACACACATTGTATAAGTGTTTCAACAAAGCAGGATGACAAGTCAACGGTTCCCTTGTACTAGGATAGCAGTTGAGGAACCATGAGCGTCAAACGGCATCCTACTGCCTGGACGCCTGTTGACGACCCTGGTTCAACTTAGTCTTTGATTTGAGTAGCCAATCGTATTCTCTAGCTATTTGCACTTTTTAAAAGTAACGTGTCATAGTGATCAAGCCGGAGCCCGGGGTGTTCTGTTTTGTACGATCGAGCTCAGGCGAATGCGTCTGTAGCTTTGATCATTGGAGCAAGTAGTACACATGATCCCTTGTGCTAGTCGACCAATCAAAAATATCATGATTAAATATACCTGATGGGAAAATATGGGTGCCGTATCGCGCAATATTTCCGGGGTTATTAACTACTTTCTAAAGTTTCATAGCTATTGGATGCATCAAATAGGGCTGGTAAGTAGGTCACCAACTAGTTCTACGGCTCAATAAAACCTGCATGAGCCATATAACTGGTTGGTGACCTACTTACCAGCCGCATACTAACAAAGCCACAGACATATTTTCATATATATATATATATATATATATATATATATATATATATATATATATATATATATATATATATATATATTTAAATGCATACATATATAAACAGAGATATAGATATTAACACATAAGAGTATAACGAATGATAGATAATATCAAACATGTTTTAAATACGCGATAAAAGTTAATGATTAATTACTTTTTCACATCTTTATTTCTGAAAAAAGTGAAATATTAATAATAAAGCATATTTACATTGTTTACAAAGCACTTATAAGCATTTGTTTTTCCTGTGTATATAATACATGAAAACTAAAAAGAAACAGTCGCCAACCTCTGTTTGGTTTATTTTCACTCTAAAATGTATCTTATCTATATATAATTGCATTAAGCTCTGCTATTTATGAAAGGGGAGACAGTGACTTGTGTAAAAATACGGTTTTGACACTTCCCAACTTACGTCCATCGGGAGGTAAAGTAGAGTTCAACTCCTTTCAGTAACCTCGAAATTTGATGAAAAATCGTAGACTCTGGGGCTCTCTACAGACAAGAATCGGGGACTCGAACTCGATACTTTCGGGTGAACTGTTGTATGCTCTACACTCCGAACACGCCGTCCCTAAAGAATACAGAGCTCAGGTGAAAAAAAAGAGAAAGTGTCATATCAATAGGACATGTTTGCTTAGCTCTGTCTGGGAACGGTTGATGGTTTCGAACCCGTGAACTGCAATCGATTATCACGCTATAGTAAAAAAACATTCAATATGCCGCTAGACCACGCCGTCCCTCTAGATAAACGGACACGTATATTCTTATACTTATCTCATTAAACGACATACATCAGAGGCGTAGCGACCCTTCCCGGCGTCCGGGGACAAACTTTTTGATTTGCATCCCCCCCCTCATACTTTCGATTTGCACCCCCCCCCCCCCACACATACTTTCGATTTGCACCCCCCTCAAACTTTCAATTTATTTTTCCAACCCATTTTGTCGCCGCCTAAGGTCGGCGCCCGGGGACATATGTTCCCCCCCCCGCCCCCCCTCTCGCTACGCTACTGACATACATGTGTATGTTCTAGGTGCCCCTGCCTTGGTCAACATATCTCTCACTAACATACACATAACTTATCACAATAACAACATTCACATAAATTATCACACTAACAACATACACATAACTTATCACAATAACAACATTCACATAACTTATCACAATAAGAATATTCACATAACTTATCACAATAACAACATACACATAACTTATCACAATAACAACATACACATAACTTATCACAATAACAACATACACATAACTTATCACAATAAGAATATTCACATAACTTATCACAATAACAACTTACACATAACTTATCACAATAAGAATATTCACATAACTTATCACAATAACAACATACACATAACTTATCACAATAACAACATACACATAACTTATCACAATAACAACATACACATAACTTATCAGAATAAGAATATTCACATAACTTATCACTATAACAACATACACATAACTTATCACAATAGCAACATACATGTATGTGCATGTTTCAGGTGCCCCTGCTGTGGTCAACAAATCTCTCACCAACATACACATAACTTATCACAATAACACATGTATGTGTATGTTTCAGGTGCCCCTGCTGTGGTCAACAAATCTCTGACCATCCAGATACCAGAGAGCGGCAACACGACCATCACACTGGAGATATTGGGCTATCCTGAACCCACGGCCTACGGTCTACAGATACAGTTGGGCCAGTCCATGTCCAACACTGACGACTATAACGTCGTCTATACTAAGCTGACACCCCCGTTTGGTTTAGTGACCTTGACCATTTATGACGAAAACACACAGATATCTTTGACGTATATATTCACTATTATGAACAGTGCTGGAAATATCACATTCACATTTGATGTCGTTAAACAAGATATGAGCGAAAAGGGTAAATATTTGTATTTTTTATATAAATATCTGTATATAGACTATTTTTAAAATACTTGTATTATTTTGTTACTACCAGTATTATGTTAAGATATTCTGATCGCATTAGCAATGCACCAATCATATACTGATTAAAAGTATTGAAAAACGAAGTTCCAGGTCAAGATAATCTTTAAGACATATCTTCTTATACTTATCAGAAAATATTGTGCTAACTGTCCAAGAGACTCATGTTCCAATAACGTCTTTACTCTCTATGTCCGAAATTGTAATGTATAGATATTATTTATTGCCATTCATTATCTAAGTCGTGCGGGGCACTTTTTAAGCTGGAAACACTAATGCTGAACTATATAGTTTCGATTGCGGTTTAATTTACAGTATTAGGGGTCGCATAGATAAGTTAGTTTCACCAACTTCAAAATGGTGGATATGTAATCAAAACATCACTCCCACCACCAAAACCACCACACCTAACAACCTTCTTATATTGTGTCCACTAGTGAATGAAGATGTCACACAACTACACGTCATGGTCTGTGTTGGTGTCGCCTGTGGTCTGCTGATTTTACTGGTTATTTCTGTCATCGTCGGAAGAGTTGTTGTCAATAAGTGGTTGTGTCTCAGAGCTAAACACCAGGTCTATGGTTTCAGTGGATCGATTCTCCATATGGCGAACTTCAAAAACAGTAAGCATTAGGATAATGTTTACTTTGTTTGTTGACCTCTTTAATCGCTTTTCTTAACTGTATTGATATTCCAGCGCTGATTCTATATATAGTTTTAAACTATAACTTGAATACCTCACACAAACTTCATTTATTGACTTAGTTCGTGAATTTAGCTCTTACTCTAACTATGATCCTAATAAAAACACCATAAACACCCATAGTTAAAAAATATGTAACTGCTTGATGAATGGTTGCTTTTCTTTAATTTGTATGTACAAAATTGTGACATTTTAAAAAATGCTACTTACTGAATATTAGATTAGAATTCAAGTATTTCATTGCGATTGTGAATATAATTTAATTATTACATTGCGATTGTGAATATAACTCAAGTATTACATAGCGACTGCAGATATAATTCAAGTATTACTTCTTTCACATGTGAAGACCTATCTAGTCCAGATAAAGCAAACACTGACACAAATACTCAACCACCTCCACATACAGTTGAGACTGACGACAGCTGCCACCGGAAAGTTCAAATGGAAGACAGCTCTGGCGCTCTTGTACTTTACTTTGAACCTCCACCAGATTATCCATTGGATTAACGCATCAGATTATCCATTGGATTAACACATCATATTATCCATTGGATTAACACATCAGATAATCAATTTGATTAATATACCCGCAACTCCCAGATAGTGAACATTAAAGGAAATAGCAGTTACATTGTTTGTTAAAATATCTTTTTAGTACATACTTTCTTTTTAAATGTGTATTTTATTAGAGGAATATGGTTTTAAAAAATCTCAAGTATTATATATAAACATTCGCCGAAATATATTAAATCGGATAAAATTGTAAAGAAATTAAATAATTAGTTTTTGCTTATGTTAGAATACTATCTGTAAGGATTTTTAATTGGTTTTTGTTTTATATTGGAAATAATCCACATTGAAAATAAAATAAAATGTTACAATTATCGTTTTTAGTAGAAAGATTTCGAAAAGGTGAGTTGAAAATCAATCACACACATGATTTTCTGAATTTATGTATACTATAATTTTGTACCTAAAATAGGTAGGCCTATACAATGAAAACAAATAATCCAATTAAAAATATTAAACACGAGAAAAAGTGCCCGTTGAGGAAGGATACAACGGGCGCTAGGTTGATAGTGCTGTCTATTTTCTAGGTACTTTAATTTATTCAAAATATAGTCATAGGCATATCCCTAAAACATGCACCTAATCTCATTCATGATACAAGTCGTATTAAGAGTTTCTTTCAGGCAACTCTACTTGGGAGGAGGGGGCTTCGCCCCCCCTCCCCCCCCCCCCCCCCCACACACACTCCAAAACATGTCTACCGTCCCATTCAACGAAATATAATTATATACTTTTTTCCCAGTGTTCTACCCCCGCCCCCGAAAATTTCATGTACCCCCACCCCTCTCCGGGGAGGAAAAAGTCTGAAAGAAACACTGGTCGCATTTGTAGATCATACAAACTAAACGAAGAACCTGGGCGGGGCTTCTCCCCTACCGGAAGAGATGGATGAAAAAAACTGCACGATAAACACTTTTTTTAGATTAGAAAAATTCCTCCCTCCGGGGAGGAAAAAGTCTGAAGGAAACACTTGTGTCGCGCTTAGCCACTACCCGAAGAATTGCATGAAACTCTGCACGCAAACGACTTTTTAGATTAGACACATTAATTAGGCGGTAATTTTATTATAGAGTATCGATAAAGAAATTTCTTTTGAGTTGGGGAGGGGGGAGGGGGCTTACACGTTCTTACGCGGGGGTGGGGCTTCGCCCCTACCCGAATAATTGTATGAAAGAAACTCTTCACGCAAACCACTTAGATGAGACAAAATTGGCTTTTTAAATTCAATGTTTACTCGATAATCAATGACGTCATGTTACTGTGTGCACTCTCCGGCTTGATACTATTTTCTTCTATATGCTAAATGTGACGTCATATTTCGTTTCCGTATTACTCTGCATGTTTTTATTTTGCTTGTGTTTTCTCTACAGCGTTATTGTCAGATAGATACATACACAGATAGATACACAGACAACGAAACTATTATATAGAATTAATTACTTGAAATGTTTTTTATTTTATGTTGAGTGGCTGGTGTTTGTTTTTAATTTTTTTTAAAAAGTGTAATCTATTTAACCTAAACCTTAACTCTATAGCACTTAATTCAGAACTGACTTTCCGTAAATCGTTCATAAGCCTTTGATTCGAACTCGAGACTTTCATGTTAGCTGCTGTAAGAATAAACATCCGACCTCACCGTTACACTTTTTAGTTAAACTATATAATCGTTTTTTTTTTTCAAGCAATGGAAATAGACATTTTTAAAACGTTAGTTACATGTTTTGGCATTATGTTGTTTCTCATAATGTTTTAAATGGAAGTAACCGCTAGTCTCGCCATCGAATTATACTTTTGCTAAACCTACACCACCAGAGGCAGGGAGTACATATGTCCCCGGGCGCCGACCTTAGGGGGCGCCAAAATTGCTTGGAAAAACAAATTAAAATCTCATTTTAGGTGCAGTTTGTCATAAATATAAAAACTATATGGGAGGGGTGCAAATGGAAAGTTTGAGGGGAGTGCAAGTGGAAAGTTTGAGGGGGGGGGGGGTGCAAATGGAAAGTTTGAGGGGGAGGCTGCAAATTGAAAATTGAAAGTTTGTTCCCGATGGGAACGCCAAATTGAAAGTTTGTCCCCTGGCGCCGGGAAGGGTCGCTACGCCTCTGATCTGCACCGATACAAAGTAAATTTCTCTTTACTAAACTATATTTACTTCCTGTGTGATAATCCACTGGTGGAGTATATACTTTAAATACAATTCAAGTACTTTGGTCTCTAGTATCGATTTTACGTCAATTCCAATAATGTCTTATCTTAAGTTTACGTTTAGCAGAAAAGAGAAGGAAGGTTATTTTAACACTACATTAACTGTGATTATATTCGTATTGACTTTTAGAGTAACCATAAATTTTGCTGTGTAGCATGTTTTATTAATTAAATACCCTTCAAGCGTAATGGATATTTTTTTATGAAACTACAAATGCTCTATTTTAAATGCTCCATTCAGAACAAGATTATTTTATAAAGCATGCATATCTTTTTTGTTGTAATTCTACTATCAGATTAGTAGATTTATTATTTTTACAAAAAAAAACTAAAAGTTTAAAAAAAATAATAATTAATTTTTTTTTAATAACAATATATATTTAATTTTTTGCATATATGGCAAAACACACAACTATTTAGTTTATTGTAGATGCACAAAATACATACATTTATCATAGACAATTAAGTGTTCATATTATATAACATTTATTGTGGAACCACCCTCTTTAAAACAAAGGAAAAAAAAACAAAAACCGACAAAAAGTGTGACGACAGTAACGGATTCTTTAAAATCACGTATTGTACTAAAAAGTTTGAGCATGCAGTCGACTTTTTATATTCTCCAATACATCTTTAAAGGATAGAGTTATAAAAATAAACAATATGAAAAGAATATTAGCACTGTAATAGTTTATCAATCTATCTTAATCCTAAAATTAGTTGACAATATTGTAAAGTAATAAATCATTCCCAACCTCTTTGATAACTGAATGGCGAAACAATAAATTCCCACTTAACACATCAAGTTGCAAAGTAATCAGTTTTACCCTCTTTGTTGTATATAGACTGCACCATCACTGTAAAATCTATACAGAAACAGGTTGGTGCTACAAGCTCGTGAATGGTTTTGTTTGTTTTTGTTTATCTGTATAGAGAATGTGGGATCAAAGTGGATGTGGGCAACAATGGGATCGTTCATCAATCTCTTTACACGAATATGGAGGGGGGGGAGAATATAGATGCATCTATAAATAAAGCGTGACGTTATTTCAAGACGACACCATGTGGCTGTCTATTGCGGTGTATCTTTGATCCTGATTAACGAATAATAGACACAATGGTCATGATTGATTCTCTTTTACTTTGTATTACTTTCAACTATTGTAAACATTCTCTTGATCTCTAACATACGTTTATGTGTTCAATAAAGTAAAGAATTGCCTATTTAGACCTAGTCATGCATTGGGCAGATGAAGTAGAATTCATATGTGTCCTGCCCTCGACAGTTGAAAGGGTATTGTACTTATATGTGTAGAAAAACATAATTAGTTCTAGTAAATGGGTGGTTTTAATCAATGTTTAACTTACAAGATAAATTTAAACATTTTTTATTATACAATTTCCTAAAGACCAGCTACTTTCTGAAGAAAGTGTCAAATAATGCTGACTCTAGAACTGTAGTAAACATTTACCTATAACCCACTCATCACGACATACCTTGATTGCCAATCTTGACGATTACTATGCCGTTAAATAAATATTGTCTGTTAATGAGTGTGATTGGTCAACACTTTTTTGTTTAATTAACGTATGTTTTTCTTCTATGTTTTATCTTCATCAGTTATTTCTATGTTCACCATTGTATATTTTAACAAGCTAGTGTTTCTCTAGAAAACCTACTTAAGGATGTGGAGACGAAAATTATTCTTTCTAACTGTCCGAGTGGCGAGAGGGTCATCAACGGATCAGTCCTGACAGGTTCCACAGCGACATGTCAGTGTCACAGTGACACTGACAGCTACGTGCAGTGGTACTCATCTGATGACCAGCCTTTGGAGGCAGGCCGTCCTACAGCCGTATTACAGTTTTCATTTAATAGTTCCTGTAAGTTTTTTTATAATGCCTCCACCGATTACATTTGTAAAAAAATTATACCATGTTTAAAAGTGTATTATACTTTTTTTTATTAATTTTCCTTGTATTTTTGATATCCATGTTTCTATTAAGTATCGTGTACTTAGTATATTACCATTATATAATGGCTGGGCGATACATGGGTTACTGCAAACGCAAAAGAGGCTAGTTCACTTCGTAAGACGTACTTGGGTCCACTAAGTGTAATGGGCTATTGAACAAATTTAGGGAATTTAAAGGCTATTGGTATATAGTTATACCCACTGATAAAAACAAATTATGTTCGTTAATTCTCTGTACTACGGAATATAGTATCTTAAATTGTTTATGTACTATTGTTTAACATTAACACCGAACAATACCTTATGTAATACTCCACTCAATATACCCTGTTGTAAACAATATTTTTAAAAGCTTTCACTAACAGTCACAATTTGTTAAAAACATACGTTGATTAAAAAAAAATCACACATATATAATTTCAGTTACGTCATTAAAAATAATTTTAAAAACACGATCTAAAAAAGAAAACTATTTTGTATATATGGTATGTCATTCTATTCTTACAACCATCGTGTATCGTTTGAAAGTAAGAGATAACGTAAAGCAAATTGATTGTTGTATTAACGTGTCTTCCTTTCACTACCTACCCCCGATGTAACAGAAATAACAAAATAATAAAATACCTCCTTTCTCCTTAGAGTCATAAAACATAAACACGATCCTTAAAGGGGCCTCATCAAAAAGACAAAGGAAAGAAGAAAAAATTTCGCCAAAACTAAAATAATATATATACACACGGGCGAATGAACAAAACC